TTTCAGAGGCTTTTTGATGATCTCTTGTATGTATGGATTTTGATGTTTTTCACCAAAACAAACTTATCTTTGAAGTTCACTTTCCATGAATGTTTTATAAATTAGTCTCATAAATAATTATTTTTAAAAACTTTTAACAATTGAATGTATATTTTAATATATTCCAAATGCCTTAGCCTCTGGGAGCGATGAGTATTTTAGAATATTTCACAAGAGAACTTGGCTCCTACTAAAACCATTCTCAACATTTGTTGTTATTTATTGTGCTGCTATGATTATAACTTGGTGTGATGTGGGAAGAGGGTGCATTGTGTGTGTGTGATGAGAGTGAGGGTTGCTGCAAGTTGTACAATGGGCCACGACCAGATTCGCTGACTGCCAAAGGCTAAGAGATGCCACAGCAGGGATGAGAAGTTTGAGCTCGATTCTGTCGATACAGGAGTTGCTCTGTTGTTGCATCCATTTAGAGCCTATTGATTCTCAATTTAACAAGCTCACTTAGCTGATTTGACAGCTCAGCAAACCAAAGGCAGGGAGGCAGAGGGGCTGCTGGGGAAGAGGACAGAATGAAAGCCACAGCAGATCAGGCAGGGGGCAAGGAAGCAAGTCTGAGAAAACAAACGCAGTCCAACCTCCGTGCCCCTGTCGGTGGCCACCAACAGCACAGCACCAACAGAGAGCACACACCTGCATGGAGATTAACCGATGCTCAGCAGAGGATGGCTGGGAGCTGCACAATAGGTTTAAAATTCTTCCAAAGATGAAAAGCTTTCAAATATTTAGGGGAGGGAGGCGATAGGAATCTCTGAGCAAGAAACATCGGGAAACCGGGATCCTTCCTACCCTGCCAGAGAGGTGAGTATGGCTGTGGTGCTTCCAGAAAGTCAAGCGGTTACTTCTTAAAGAGATGAAATCCAGGTTCTGGGCCTCTTGCCTTGAAAAGAGGCAACATGTGCTAAGCTCGAGGCAAAGCAGGGAAGGAGATCTTCAGGGCATCTCTGGAGCCAACACAGATCTCTATAAGGAACCACCTGAACAACAGCAAGACTCAACTTGGTGTATACCAGACATCTATATTCTGTAGCTCTAAGCAGGAAACAAACGCATTATTGTTATGATCGGGCCATGAACATCAGGCCCCAAGGTGGCATTTCCAAAAATCATAAAATCCAAAGTCCCCTTCTTTCCCACCTGTGGGGCGCTTATAAACAACTGAGGCAACAGTGAATTCCAAAATTCAGATTAAATCTCTGGCTACCAAGTGAGATAAACAACATGTCAGGGGCTTCCTGATGGAATGACCTCACCTTCAGGAATCCTTAAGATTCAGCTAAAAACCCAGAAGTGGCAGAGACATTTAATCAATTCCTTTTTCACTTGGGAAGCGAGGAAATGTTCACTTCCCTGCCCAGTCACAGCAGCATGGGGACCACGGGCCCAAGTTCTCCCCTGCGGACTCTGCCTCGTAAGGTTGGCCACTTCCAGTCTGGAAGCTTTAAACACTGAAGACAAAGCATTTCAATAATTTCAGATCAGATCAGAGTACTTGGGTTTTAGTTCCATCTCCTCTCCATGTGGCTCCTCTGACTCCTCAGACAATCCCACTAACGCTCCCTGTATACCAGAGAAGCTAAGGGAGGGTTTTAAGAGCTTAGGGCCAATTGGTTGTGGGACACTAGGATCCCCGAGTGACTATGCGGATGCACCCTGGATCTTGCTGCTGCCAGCTCTGGCCTGAGACCCCCCACAATAAGGAAACCTCAGAATAAACAGAGCTACTGAATGGTGAGATTGTGTATCCCACGAATTGGCCCATCAGGATGAAATCCTGCTCTAGGTTAACGAGTATTTGTGGGAGGCTCCCCAAAGAGGTGTGAACACTTGGCCAGCAGTGAAGGTAATAATCCCAAATCACAGTACTTGGGTTTTAGTCCCATCTGCTCTCCAGGCTCCAGTCATTGACTCCTTGCCACCTGCATGGGATATGTGGATTGCACAACCTGTCTTAATCCCAGCCAGGGGCTGCTGCAGACATTTGGAGAATAAACCAGCAAACGCGTGCCCACTCTCACACCCTTGTGCATGCTCGCTTTCTCCTTGCCCCCCATTTATAAACAAACACTTTTCTTAAAGGATGCAAAAAGAAATGGTAAATATTTGAGTGACAGATATGCTAATGACCCTGATACGGTCATTTCACAATGTATACTCGTACCAAGGCAGCACATTACTTATAAATGGAAGACAGGCAATGCTGATGCCTACTAAAAAATAAAATAAAACCAAAAAAAAGGGCTCCAAAGGAGTCTTGTGCATTTACTCACACAGAGGCGTTACAACTTAGCTTCACAGTCTTGCTCTGTGACATACTCAGTTCCTGAAAATCCAGATCAACAGCTGCCTTTCAGAATCCAAAGCCAACCACACCCTAACGGAAACCTCTGGGTATTGTGTTTTCTTCCATGGATTTCATGACACCAAACTGACAGGGCAGACAAGTTAGGAAAGTGCCTCGGTGAGTGCAGGCAACAATGCTACGGGATGGGCTAGCCACGCTTGAGGTGAGGAGGAGCAAGGCCTGGCAACAGTCACTGCAGAAAGCTGCTCCCTGCGAGATGTTAAGAAATTCACTTCTACAACCGAGTGTCATTTGCAGGTTTATATGTTAACACGTAGTTCCTGGGTGACTGGCAAGACACAATCCTTTGACAAAGGGCCACCTTCCAAGTCCTCTGGAGATAACAGAGAGGGCCAACTTGCCTGAACCAGTCAGCAGCACCTGCCTAGGTTTGGCAGAATTCCCTGACCATGCAGAGAAGCAGCTGCCAATAAGCTCTGTCAGAACCAGGGAGGGGACACTTGAGTCACTTTCCCAACATCTCCAACATCAGGAAATGATCTCTGTCAACACAGCAAGGGCAATATTATCAAAAATCACCAACTCAGGAGAATGAAAGCTCTCCAAAGAGAGGGAGGAGGCCCTGGATGAGGCCACCAGCTTCCTGAATGGGGAACAGACACCACAAAACAAGCAATCCACATTACTAAGCAATTCTTTTCTGTGGAAGGCACTGCCTGGTGAAGAGGAAAGCTTTAAACACTGAAGTCAAGGTATTTCAAACATATCATCAAGGTTTCCAGGGATCCCTCCCCAGGCCCAGCCCGCAACAGCAAGTGACCTGGTTCTTGACCAAGCCATCCACTACATGGGTCTATGCAACAACCCTACATCATGTGTGTACATGTGTGTGGGAACATTTCCTACATGGGACTCAACCAGCCCACTCCTCTATAATAATCTCCACTCCTAAAAATCGTGACACACGGGCCCAGCACATGAGTAGTCTAGTGGTTGGAGTCCTCACCAAGCATGTGCCAGGATCCCATATGGGCACCAGTTCATGTCCTGGTGGCCTTGTTTCCCATCCAGCTTGTGGCCTTGGAGGTCAGTTGAGGACAGCTCAAGGCCTTGGGACCCTGTTCCCACGAGGGAAACCCAGAGGATTCTCCAGGCTCCTGGCTTCAGGCTCAGCTTTGCCTATTGTGACCACTAGAGGAGCATGTCAGTGAGAAGATCTCCTCTCTGTCTGTCCTCTTTGTATATCTGACTTTCCAATACACATGGATAAATCTCCCGGTGTGGTAGTCTAGTGGCTAAAGTCCTCGCCTGGCACACACCAGGATCCCATATGGCACCAGTTCTAATCCCGGTTGTCCTGCTTGCCTGGGAAAGCAGTCAAGTAGGCACAAAGTCTTGGGACCTTGTACCCACACAGAAGACCCAAAAGAGGTTCTGGCCTCCTGGCTTGAGATCTGCACAGCTCCGGCAGTTGTGGCCACTTGGGGAGAGAACCACTAGATGAAAGATCTTCTTTATCTCTCCTGTTCTCTGTATATCTCACTTTCCAATAAACATAAATCTTTTTTTTTTAAGTAGATAATTTTTAAAAAAATATACTGGGGACACAGCATCCATTTAGAACTTAAACCATGGGGTGGGAAAGATAACTAAGTTATTTAAACTCAAGCAAATTACTTTCATTTGCAAATGTACTTCCTAATAATATCAGACTTCCTCCCACATGAGCTATGAGAGTTGTGCACATGATATTGGTCTTGCAATGGAAAGGAGAAGAAAGGTGAGGTATTGTCATAAGTATGTTATATAGTATGTAGCTCCAGGTCCCTTCCAAATGATAGGAAGATTGAGAAATCGTTAAGATTTAAGCAATTCTAACAAAGACCCTTCTTGAGCCAAAATTTATCAGTACATTTTTTTTACTTACTTTTGAAATTAATGTAATGAGAACTGGCTTTATACACTTCATAGGTAAAATTTTAATAACACAATACTTCCTTTGTTAATTTTTACAATACTATATTTTCAAGTTACGTTATAGTTAAATGCTTAAGCTCTACTAAATAAAGAGTTCAACAAGTAAAAATCCGAAAGACAACTATTCAGCAGGGATATTTATAAGAACCATAAACAACAATCCAAGGCTTTTTATAAGAAGAAGAAAATCATGACTCTTAGGAAATAAACACTCTCACAAAAAGTAAACGTGAGCCTCATGAATATGAGCGTGTCCAGGGAATCCAGAGGACAGAGCTACTGGACAAAGAGGCAAACTGAAGCTCGGAGAGGTCTGTGACACTGCCCCAGTTCTCAGAAGTGGCCAATCACTAAGTCCAACGTGAGTGCACTTGACCCTAATTTCATATGTTTTTTTTTTTCTAGAGAACTCTGCAAGATGCTAACAATTGCAGTCATTCCATGGGGGAAGATTTTGACATCCTCTGAGAGTGAGAGTAAGAAGAAGAAAAATGAACATGAAAATATGATGTAAAAGGAAGGAACAATAGAGGTAGTGCAGATTATAGAAATTAATGTCAGACAATACAATTTCAGGAAGGGTCAAGTTGCCTCAGGGGAGAGAGCTCAGCAATCTTCTCAAACCCACACCACACACAAGCCTTCAATTACAACAGCTACTCACCTGTCCCTATGAAACAAGATGATCACAGGCCCATGTCCTCTACATCACTGGATAAGAAACAGCAGCCTCAAACTTCAAATTCTTCTTGGTTTACTGTGAGAGGTAGAGATGTAAAGCTCTCATGTACACTTTGCTAAGAATGCAAGTGTTTCAACTTGGGGCAGGCATTTGCTTTGAGTATATTTGATAATACTGGAAAGTCAGTGGGTTTCCTTAAAGACAAATATAACACCTACAGAATGTACACCTGGAAAATCGCTGAGTCCTAGGTGCATGTTAATATGTGCACATACAATTTTTTAAGATTTAGTTTATTTTTATTGGAAAGGCAAATTTACAGGAGATAGAAAAATCTTCCATCCACTGTTTACTCCCCAGAGGGTCACAATGGCTGGAGCTGAATCAATCTGAAGCCAGGAGCTTCTTCTGGTCTACCACGTGAGTGCAGCAGCCCAAGGCCTTGGACCATTCTACACTGCTCTCCCAGGCCACAAGCCGGGAACTGGATGGGAAGTGGAGCAGCAGGACACAATCCAGCATTCATGTGGGATCCCAGAATACACAAGCTGAGGATTCAGCCACTGAGCCATCCAGTCAGGACCCTCTGCCACAATCTTTTTAAGAAAAGATGCTTGAAGCACCAGTGCCATGGCACAGCCAACTAAAGCCTTACCTGCAGCATCGGCATCCCATATGGGCACCAATTGGTATCCCAACTGCTCTACTTGTGATCCAACTCCCTACTTATGGCCTGAGAAAGTAGTGCAAAATGGCTCAAGTCCTTGTGGCGTGGCACCCACATGGAAGACCTGCAAGAAGCTCCGGGCGCCTGATTTGGATTGGTCCAGCTCTGGCTGCTAAGGTCATTTGAACAGCGAACCAAGGGATAGAAGAACTGTCTTTTTCTCCTCCTCTCCGTAACTCTGCATTTCAAATAAAGATAAAATAAATCTTGAAAAGAACACAAAAGATTCTTGCAACTGAGCTTGAACAGAAGTGAGTCTTCAGAGACATGCCCATATGGGCTTCAATAACTACCATTTGAAACATCTGTAGGTGGACAGAATGTTGATGTAAATATAAAGAAAGAAAACACAGATTGCTCTTTTAGTATGTGAGAGAAAAGTAATTTCTATAAACTCAAGCAGACTACAGTAATAACAACAAACAAGTAAGTAAATAAATAAATAAGAAGGTTAAGCAGATGCTTCCAAAACAAAGACACAACTATAGGACCCAGAGTGTCCACCATCCAGAGTAAACATCTGAACAGATTCTGCGAAACAGTCTAAAATGTGATTCTTACATAGTATAGAAACAGTACAACAATGAACGGTAATGGTCAACTTTGATGATTTGTGTTATGCTATGACCTACAGGAGCTCACACATCCTCCCAACAATCTTCCAAGAGCATTACTGTTGGTTAGCAGGACCACTTTACAGATGGAAAAATGAGGCAAAAGAAGGCTTACATCTCTGGTTTCAAAGAGTTGACTTGTCACACTGCTCCTCAAAGGGATTTCTAAAACTTGTGAATACTAAGGGAAATCAAGGTATTCAAAAGAAGGAGTTAAACTTACAGACATTAAAAGAACATTGACAAAGTATAGAGACAAACATCTGGAGCAGAGTGTAAGAAGGAAAATTTTGGAAGAATCCTGAACTCTTAAATGCCTATAAGAAAGAAAAGGGGTGGAGCCAGAACAGTGGCATGGCTAACTAATCCTCTGCTTACAGCACTGGCATCCCACATGGACACTGGTTCCTGGCCTTGCTGTTCCATTTTTGCTCCAGCTCCCTGCTGGTGGCCTGGGAAAGCAGCAGAGGATGGCTCAAAGCCTTGGGCATCTGCATCCACACGGCAGATTCAGGGGAGAATTCTGCCGCCTAGCTGCAGATTGGCTCAGTTCTGGCCATTTCAGTTATTTGGGGAGTGAAGCAACAGACTAAAGCCCCCTTGCCTCCTCTCCCTCTCCCTGTCTCTTCATCTTTCTGTGAATACACCTTTCAAATAAAACCAAATGAATTTTTAATACACATATTTCTTAAATTACTCCTCAAAATCTTAAATATACTGTCAAACAGAAAATACATCAGTTTTTCTTATATTGGGACCCATATTTTTCAACTCAGTATTCAGACACACAATCATAGATTCTAGCTTAACCTCTGTTTGATATCGCTGTATTGTTTGGTAGTACTGGCCCCAAGCCACTAAACTTTTATATTTCCCAAATGGGTCTGAACCTTCCGTTGAAAAGCACTATCCATACGCAAGTGACCACTTTCCAAAAGGCATTATCTATATTTTTAAAACATGTGGCTTTTAAAGAGTAGGAATCCTACAGACTAACTTAGGTACTTTGGCACAAATCCTGTGAATTGACCCAGGACAGAGATTCTTAGCAAAAGATTCATGGAGAGAACTTCAAAGATATTTAAACCTTCTGGAAATGAATGCAAAAGTCTACTAAAACACAAAGGTGACATTCTTCTCCTCACCTTATGACTGGGGCAATTAGCTCTCTGATGGCAAACTCAAGACACAGGGTAATAAGATCTCCTATCAGGTCAAAAATGCTGGAACAGGGCCAGGCACGGTAGCCTAGTGGCTAAAGTCCGCATGTCACATGCCAGGATCCCATATGGGGACCAGTTCTAATCCCAGCAGCCCTGCTTCCCATCCAGCTCCCTGCTTGTGGCCTGGGAAATCAGTCAAGGACAGCACAGGGCCTTGGGATCCTGCACCTGCATAGGAGACCCAGAAGAGGCTCTGGGCCCCTGGATTCAGATTGGCTCAGTTCTGGCCACTGCAGCCACTTGGGAAGTGAATCAGCAGATTCACTTCTCTCTGACTTCTCTGTATATCTGACTTTCGAAAAATATAAAGAAATCTTTTTTTTTAAAATGCTGTAATAACTGTGTTTCTGTACTATCACTCTGTGAAGCTTGGGGGTACATGTCTGCTGTGCTCCCCTGGCCCCTCTGACAGGGAGGATTCTCAACTACAGGAAATCTCCTGGCCTCTCTGCTACCTCAGGGGTGGCCCGAGGAGAGAAAGCACTGGCTGCACAGAGTGAGGGGCTGGTGGAATTCACCCCTATGCCTGCTGGAGCCTTTCTCTCCCCTTTTCTTACAGATCTTCCAGGACTCTGGGGAGCCCAAGGTACAACCCGTTCTATCTCCTGCAGCAGGCAATCTTAGGAATCCTGGCCCACGAGAGAAAATCTGCTGTTATCCAGTGTTAGCTCTGCAGAGGTGGGTAAATTCTTCAAAATCTATGAGACAGGAATATGTAAGAGACCTATGCTATCTACCTTCAAGTCAAATTCTCCCAGCCACCATTTACCAATGGCGAAGCCAATCTTTCCGTTACCATCTGTTGACTCTACTCTGTCAATTCACCAGACCTTGCACCAGAAAAACAGCTTCTAAATTCCCAAGAAGCTCTATTCTCCTCACATTCTCAGTTTCAAGTGGGTTGACAGGAACTCAAATACTGTGTTTAACTCATCTGTTACTTTCCAATTTTAGGCAGACTTTATGTGTCTTCTAGATCAGCCAGCTCTACTACATACTCGTGTCCTCATGCAGCCCCCATTGAGCAGAAATGTTCCTAGAAACCAAGACACAGAACCACTGGAGCATTCTTCAGATGATTATTTTTCTTTAGCCTAATGCCCAACCATAGATCAATGCCAAAGTTGCAAGGTAGAGTTAAATGGGCATTTGGTTAGAGCTTCCGCCCTCATAGAAGGAGTATTTCACTGTGATGTTCTAGGTGAACTTCCAGACTAACAAATATTCAGGTGTTGTGATATCTGTTCACAAGTTAATAATACAGTTCAGGATGCACTATCGATGGTTTAGATAAGAGACTCGACTCCACAGAGATGATAACTCCCAAGAATTGAGAACCAGTGTTGCGGCTCCTATTTAGACTTCTCATGTGTAAGTTTTATTTGCAACATTTGCCAATTTAGTCATCATACAACACATGCAATCTAATACTTGAGAAACAAATCAATTGGACTGTGAGGCTGGGAGGAACAAAAAAAGTGTTTGGTTACATGAATCTCCTCAGTATTATTTTGTCTCTGTCTTGACAATGTTCTTAGAAAGATAAAAATCTCATTCAGGATCTTTTCTCATTCAGAACTTTTAACCTGAATATCCACATTACAAAGCCTCTGAGGTCTGAAACAAACTTTTTCTGTCTCCAGGGCATTGTAGCTGATCCTGTGTCTATTCTTGTGGATTTGTATCAGGACATACAGCTTAAGTGCTGTTGGTTCTCTTTGTTTCTGGAGCTCTATGTTTCTGCTGCTCGCCATACTAAACACTGGACAGCATCATAAGTCAGTCATCTTCAGGAAGGAAGAACTGGTAAATGAGGAAAATGCATGTTCAAGACCTGCTCAGGGCACTAGAATCATGGTACAACAGGTTAAACTACCACCTGTGACAATGGCATCCCAGTGACGTGCCAGGTCAAGTTCCAGGTTCTATGCTTATAATGCAGCTTCCTGCTAATGCTCCTAGGAAAGCAGCAGGGGAATGGCCAAAGGATGTGGGCCCTGTTACACCTATGGGAGATCCAGAAGGAGCTCTAGGCTCTGGGCTTTGCGTAGCCCAAATTTCGCTGTTGCAGCCAACAGGGAAGCGAACCAAAAGATGGATGGTATCCATCTCTCTGTCTCTGTCATTCTGCCTTTCAACTAAATAAATCGTTTTTAAAAAGTAGTTAGAATGGGGAACAGCATTGTGACACAACAGGCTGGCCAACCACTATGTCACTTATGATCCAACTTCCTAGCAATGCATCCTGGAAAACAGCAGATCATGGTTCAACTGCTTGGGTCACTGAGATGATGGATCTAGAGGGTTGAGCTCCTGCCTACCACACAGAGACTGTGGCAGTAGTCTTAACAATTCACGTGAGACAACCACCCCATAACTGGTTCTCTAGGATGCCTATGTCAATGGAACTGAGTTCCCTAGAATACTGGACACTGGACTAGTTTGTATCTTACTTTAATTTTTTAAGGTAGAACAACACAGTTTCAGGGCTGTTCCATCTGTTGCTTCACT